TGCAGATTCAGTCTTCCCAGCCTGGTGCAGGTCTACAATTTTGTTTCTGGTGTCCTTTGACAGCTCTTTGGTCTTGGCCATAGTGGAGTTTGGAGTGTGACTGTTTGAGGTTGTGGACAGGTGTCTTTATACTGAAAACAACTTCAAACAGGTGCCATTAATACAGGTAATGAGTGGAGGACAGAGGAGCCTCTTAAAGAAGAAGTTACAGGTCTGTGAGAGCCAGAAATCTTGCTTGTTTGTAGGTGACCAAATACTTATTTTCCACCATAATTTGCTAATAAATTCATTAAAAATCCTACAATGTGACTTTCTGGAGAAAAAAAATCTCAATTTGTCTGTCATAGTTGACGTGTACCTATGATGAAAATTACAGGCCTCTCTCATCTTTTTAAGTGGGAGAACTTGCACAATTGGTGGCTGACTAAATACTTTTTTCCCCCACTGTATCCCAAAGGAAATAAATGATCTCACTTCAATACATTTTAATAGAAAGTTAGCAAAAATAGATAAGATCTTGCAACCATGGAAAGGTAAATACCTGTACATTTGTGGAAAAATCACCCTGATTAACTCTTTAGTATTATCCCAGTTTACCTATTTGCTTATGGTCTTGCCTACGCCTAGCGAACAGTTTTTTAAAAAATTATATGAGAAAAAAATATTATATTTTATTTGGAACGATAAGCCAGACAAAATTAAACGGGCCTATTTATATAATGAATATGAATTCGGAGGACAGAAGTTATTAAAGCATTAGACCTTCAGTCATACAAAAGTTATACTTAAATCCGAACTGGTTCTCAAGCAAATTAGTAAAATTGTCTCACCCAATGTTCAAGAATGGCCTTTTTCCCTTTATTCAGATTACAACCACTCATTTTTAGTTATTTGAAAAGGAAATAATCTCCCAAATATCACTATTTCTAAAACAAGCCATAGAAAGTTGGTTGCAATTTCAATTTAATCCTCCAGAAACGACAGAACAGATAATGCAACAAATATTGTGGTTAAATTCAAATTTACTAATTGACAAAAAAACGTTATTTTTTTGACAAAATGTTTAAAAAAGGTATAATCTTCGTAAATGATATCATTTGTAGCTTGTTTTTGGACACAGGCCCAGGAATGGCTAAAGGATTGCAATATTTACCTGGAGCTAACCTTGCAGATAGCATTACTGGGTGATCTGAAAAGACATAGTCAATCGATCAATAATATAATAATACTTTTAGCAAAAATGTTTATTTTTAATTCACAATCTGTAGAAACAATGAGAATAGAAAGGTTCAGAACTTTTGTAAAACATCACTGTACAGTTGAAACATATATGGCAAATAGAAATCCTATATGGATGGTGTTAAGAGATAGATGGGTGGTGTTGAATGGAGTTGAAGGATGGGACTAATAACAACTAATAACAAGATAACTAATAATAATGTAAGCATACTGTGTCCATAATAAGTATATGGGTTGTATGTTGGGAGCTTTTGGGAAAGAGCACAGTTAGAAAGATATGGCATATAGAAGCAAACCGGATGGACATCATGAAAATGATCGGAGAGGTTGAGAGTAGAAGAAGTTCAGGAGAAAAAACAAACAAAATATAATTATTGTAAAATTGACTGTGTCCATAAAATGTAGATAGTAAGTATAAGCTGGAAGTAGAGGCCTAAGCATTGTTGTTCACTAATTTACCCCAAGTAGAGAAAGGATGGCGGGGTTGAAAATAATAAAGGGGAGTATATATATAAAAAACATGGGGGATTGGAAGTGATGCAGACAATTACATTGATGGAAGTTACAGTCTATCTGCAATATTAAGCTGATCTACCCCCCCCCCCCCCAAAAACAACAAAAAAAAAAAAACAGCTGCTAAATATGTCTATGTGACCAATCGAATTTGATTTGATTTGATGTAGGACTTAGCCTGGCACTGCCATGGCTTCCCCTCCTAAGGGTGTGTCCATTCCAGGGGCAATCTGTCCTGCTGGGGTAGGGGCAATCTGTCCTGCTGGGGTAGGGGCAATCTGTCCTGCTGGGGTAGGGGCAATCTGTCCTGCTGGGGTAGGGGCAGTCTGTCCTGCTGGGGTAGGGGCAATCTGTCCTGCTGGGGGTAGGGGCAATCTGTCCTGCTGGGGGTAGGGGCAGTCTGTCCTGCTGGGGGTAGGGGCAGTCTGTCCTGCTGGGGTAGGGGCAATCTGTCCTGCTGGGGTAGGGGCAATCTGTCCTGCTGGGGTAGGGGCAATCTGTCCTGCTGGTGTAGGGGCAGTTTGTCCTGCTGGTGTAGGGGCAGTCTGTCCTGCTGGGGTAGGGGCAGTCTGTCCTGCTGGGGTAGGGGCAGTCTGTCCTGCTGGGGTAGGGGCAGTCTGTCCTGCTGGGGGTAGGGGTAGGGGCTGTGTGTGATGGGGTAGGGGCTGTGTGTGATGGGGGAATGGGTGGGCTGATTACAGGCTCTTCATGCTATAGGCTCAAGTGTCTCCGTTGTAACAGGCCTAAGAGTCATTCTCCCAGTTATGACCCTATTGTCTGTCCACTAAAGACCTGCTGTGGCTCTGCCCAGTGTGTCGCTCTACAGACAATATTATGGCGCTTTAACAGTCACTATGGGGATTGTGCTTTAAGGCATTTGCTTTGTGACATTCCCCATTGAGGTGGATATTGCCACCCACGCACTCCTTTGAATGGCCTCTGAATAGTGAAGACATTTGCCAGACTTGTACATGCTCTCAATAGCCTTTGGTTGGTTGGAGTCTGAGGAAGATGTATTGATATTCATCATCTTCTTGCAAGAGTAGTCGAGTCGTTTTCTTTATGGTTAGACAGTATATCAGTATATCTCTTTCTATAAGAGCTGTCATTTTTACTGATACTGACTAGACTACATTAAACTCTTTTGCGTGTAAAGGGCAGGATTTTCCCAGTTTCACCAACCTTTATTTCAATGTAATGACTGAGTGTTTATTTGAGGCCTGCTTCAAAGAGTTGCAGTATAATGAAGAGCAAATAAAGACAGCTCATCTTCTCCCTGATTATAGTACTCATGTTTGTCAAATTAAAGCACCTCTGACTGACTGACAGACAGACTGAAAGATCATGTTGTTGGGGAATTGTAGATGTTGCTATAAATCACCATAGGCAATTTTCAACATCAGGGCTTGACAGACTGCTACTCTTCCTCTCATTTCAGTCTCTGTAAATGTCTTGTTTATACAAGTGGAAATGGCTGACATAGTTCCCTCCATAGTCATAGTTCGCTCCAAGATCAACTTGGGGAACTCTGCTTTACACAAATTGGCTGAAAATATAAAGTATTATTATTTTGATCCTCAGATGTCGCCCAAAGTACACAGTCTTGTTGGAAAATGGTGTTCCATTTGATGTAAAAGCTTTGGCTTCTCTTGAATTGGAGACATGATCATAATCATCCTGGCACAGCCATCTTGGATCAACCATACTGGCACAGCTATCTTGGATCAACCATACTGTCACAGCTATCTTGGATCAACCATACTGTCACAGCCATCTTGGATCAACCATACTGTCACAGCTATCTTGGATCAACCATACTGTCATAGCCATCTTGGATCAACCATACTGTCACAGCTATCTTGGATCAACCATACTGTCACAGCTATCTTGGATCAACCATACTGTCACAGCCATCTTGGATCAGTCATACTGGCACAGCCATCCTAAACTCATCACATTGTTATGTTCTAACTTTAGAAACGGTCATAAAATATTGAAATAACTGTGGTGATGGCTTAAGCAGACCATGTTTAGTGACTGCACATCATCATGAAACCCTGCTCCTAACCAGTGCTGGCCTCAATTCCCAACCAATGCTGAAAATAGCAGCTACAGAGCTGCTGTCATGTAAACTTTCTGTTATATTCTTTATCAGCTGTATTGTGATGGATTCTAAACGTGTCTTGTATGAGACAAACCACTGTATAGGTTTAGACACCAGTCTCAACGTCAACAGTGAAGAGGCGACTCCGGGATGCTGACCTTCTAGGCAGAGTTGCAAAGAAAAAGCCATATCTCAGACTGCCCATCTTAATCTTTTCTTTTTATTGGCCAGTCTGAGATATGGCTTTTTCTTTGCAACTCTGCCTAGAAGGTCAGCATCCCGGAGTCGCCTCTTCACTGTTGACGTTGAGACTGGTGTTTTGCGGGTACTATTTAATGAAGCTGCCAGTTGAGGACCTGTGAGGCGTCTGTTTCTCAAACTAGACACTAATGTATTTGTCCTCTTGCTCAGTTGTGCATCGGGGCCTCCCACTCCTCTTTCTATTCTGGTTAGAGCCAGTTTGTGCTGTTCTGTGAAGGGAGTAGTACACAGCGTTGTACGAGATCTTCAGTTTCTTGGCAATTTCTCGCATGGAATAGCCTTCATTTCTCAGAACAAGAATAGACTGACGAGTTTCAGAAGAAAGTTATTTGTTTCTGGCCATTTTGAGCCTGTAATCGAACCCACAATTGCTGATGCTCCAGATACTCAACTAGTCTCAATAAGGCCAGTTTTATTGCTTCTTTAATCAGCACAACAGTTTTCAGCTGTGCTAACATAATTGCAATAGGGTTTTCTAATGATCAATTAGCCTTTTAAAATGATAAACTTGGATTAGCAAACACAATGTGCCATTGAAACACAGGACTGATGGTTGCTGATAATGGGCCTCTGTACGCCTATGTAGATATTCCATAAAAAATCGGCAGTTTCCAGCTACAATAGCCATTTACAACATTAACAATGTCTACACTGTATTTCTGATCAATTTGATGTTATTTTAATGGACAAAAAAATAGCTTTTCTTTCGAAAACAAGGACATTTCTAAGTGACCCCAAACTTTTGAACGGTAGTGCATATTTTGGCAACCCCATTGCAGTTCCTCCACGACCCCGACTTTGAATATCACCGCTCTAATATAATCTAATCTGACCTAAGGTGATTCTAACCTTTGACCTTTGACCTATTTCCCCATCCCTCCAGACGTCTAGCGAGGGCAGACACTCAGTCCGGATCTCAGGAGTCAGCACCATCGACTTCCGGGCTGGATTTTCCAGGAAGCCCACTCTGGACTTCAAGATGACCTCCAGCCGGCCAGTTCAAGGTCAGTAAGGTCACTTGACCCTCCTCGTTGTACCTTTCCATCACACACCTGCTCCTTTAGTTTGACTGGAAATGGTGGGATGTTACCCTTTGGGATAATAGCTATCTTTTGTGTGCTTTACCTTAAGCTTAATTTCATGCTTAAGTTTCAAGGGTCTTTGGTATTTGGTTTTTCATATTGTTTGGAGATTTATGAATTTGATAGTGGACCCTATTCTCATCATCATCTTATTGTCTTCTCCTAACCTCCCCATCCCTCCCTCCCTCCCTCCCTCCCTCCCTCCCTCCCTCCCTCCCTCCCTCCCTCCCTCCCTCCCTCCCTCCCTCCCTCCCTCCCTCCCTCCCTCCCTCCCTCCCTCCAGGTATCGCCACTTACATCCTGCTGAACACCACAGGGCTGTCCCATCCGGCGCGAGCTGATAGGCTGGAGCTTGTGTCAATCACAGGCGGTGTGATTAAGACCCTCCCAGTGCGGTACTATCCCAACACTGGGAAGGGAAGTCCCCTGACAGGAACCATCTGGAACATCACAGAGTTTGTCCCGCCCAAAGAGGCCTTCTTCCTGCGGGTCACAGGTTATGACAAGGATGGCTTCCTGTTCCAGAGGGTCTCCAGTGTGTCCTTCTCCAGTATTGTTCCTGGTCAGTTACCTGGACTAACAGTGATTTTTGTCAGTGGCAAAGGGCTCTGGTCAAAAGTAGTACACTATATAAGGAATTTGGGATGCAACCAGTGACTTCTCCCCCCAGTGATTTCAGTGTTTTCTTAGTGATTCTTTTTAGCAAAGGGTAGAAAATATTTAATACAAATATGAATACAAATTGATACAAATGAAGAGGTCCATGAATGCAAAGTTTGATAGCGATTGATCAATTATCCAATAAACCAGAGGTTTAAGATGCATTCAAAAGTATATTTCCCACTGGATAGTTTTAGACTAGGGTTCCCAATGTTAGTACATGTTCTGGATGTTAACAATAACAATGTCTGTCCGTTCTTGCCCTACCCTGTCCCGCCCCTCTACCCCCTGCCAGATGCGCCTAAGGTTGTGATGCACCCCACCACCCCGGGGTACTACCTGCAGAGAGGGACCATCTCCTGCCAGGTGGACAGCCTCATCCCCTTCACATTGCGTTTCACCAGGGAGGGGAAAAGCCTGGGTGTCGATCAGCTCTTCAGGTAATATAAGACCCTATTTGGGAGGGAGGGGGAGGGGAGGGGAGGGAGGGGAGAGGGAGGGAGGGAGGGAGGAGGGGAGAGGGAGAGGGAGGGGAAGGTTAAATGGAAGCATGTGAAATGAATGGGTTTCCAATACAGTCTGAAGGCATTCACTAAGCATCATATTATTAGCTAGATAGGGGGCTCCTAGTTTTAATCACATCATCCAATCTCTAATATATTCCTGTTCTATATCTTATATCACATCATGGCACAGTAGAGTATGTGAATGTTTTGTGTCTCTGTTCCTCTGTCAGGGAGTCAGCCTATGCGTCATGGGAGCTGGCCCAGGTGACTCTGAAGGATGAGGGCTTCTATGAGTGCATCGCCATCAGCAGCGCTGGGACAGGACGCGCCAGAACCTTCCTGGACGTCTCAGGTAGGACAATCCCCTGATCCCTGACCCATACCGCTCTGTCATCTCTATGGCAACACAGGCCTAATCAGTGTACGCTCTGAGTCAAGCAGAAAGGTCTGGGAACCAAAAACTACATATCTGACTCCACCTTACTCTCAGAACTACATATCTGACTCCATCATACTCACAGAACTACATATCTGACTCCATCATACTCACAGAACCAGGGGCGCAACTTTCACTGGGCTCCCCCTCAAATTCTGAAATTGCATTTTTGTCCCCCCCCCAGTTTTATCATTGGAATGTGATACAAAACGAGGCAATGGTGTGCTTTAGGACCATATGGACGCTGCCGAGCGGTCGGTTAGGCTGTTTGGAGTGTTTATCCGACTGGATAAAATAAAATAAAAGAAATAAATGTCCCCCCCACTTCTAAAACCAAAGTTGCGCCCCTGCTCAGAACGATATATCTGACTCCATCTTACTCTCAGGTCCCTAGGGGATAGGAAACTTGAGTATTAACCAATTAGCCTTGGCGTGGCCAAACTTACATCTAAAGAAGTAAGTCTATACACTACAATACATTACATGTGTAAACATTAGTAATGGTGTATAATGGATCCCACAATAAGTATTTTGCGCAGCTGGGGGTTGTATGATTACCCTATACATACCTTCATTCGAACACACACACGGAGGCACACACGGAGGCACACACACACACACACACACACACACACACACACACACACACACACACACACACACACAGAGGCACACACGGAGGCACACACACACACATACACACACACACAGAGGCACACACGGAGGCACACACGGAGGCACACACACACACACACACACACACACACACACACACACACACACACACACACACACACACACACACACACACACACACACACACACACACACAGAGGCACACACGGAGGCACACACACACACATACACACACACACAGAGGCACACACGGAGGCACACACACACACACACACACACACACAGAGGCACACACGGAGGCACACACACACACACACGCACACACGGAGGCACACATACACACACACACACACACACACAGAGGCACACACACACACACACACACACACATACACACACACACACACACACACACACACACACACACACACACAGCAGTGGGGATGGATTCCTGAAGTGAAATGTAGCAATAAGAGAAACAGTTTTACTTCATGCTCAATGGGACAGAGCCTTAGAGAACATGGTGATGACGTACAGGTACAAACCAAGCCCCAGGGGACATGGGTTTGGCTTTCATAGGGCTCAGGCTCAAAACTAGTGCCCTCTAAAGGGAATAGGGTGCAATTTGGAACTCAGACTATGAATGGGGGAGAACCTTGCTCTCAGTCTGACCTCTGTCTATGCCTCATAGGCCTCTGGCCATGGGCCATGGTTATGCATGATATGTAAGGTAATGTAGCATAGCATTATGGAACATGTTCCAAACCATTTTACATGTACTATGTATTACATCAGAACTAAGCTCACTGGAACCACTGCCTGGGGACCTTTCTCTTTCCTGTTTCTGTCTGTCACTTCCTCTCTCTCTCTCTCTGTCTCTGTCTCTGTCTCTCTCTTTCTCTGTCTCTCTCTCTCTCAAATTCAATTCAATTTAAGGGCTTTATTGGCATGGGAAACGTATGTTAACATTGCCAAAGCAAGTGAAGTAGATGGTGAAATAAACAATAAATATTAACAGTAAACAATATAAATATGGGTTGTATTTACAATGGTGTTTGTTCTTCACTGGTTGCCCTTTTGTTGTGGCAACAGGTCACAAATCTTACTGCTGTGATGGCACACTGTGGTTTTTCACCCAGTAGATAAGGGAGTTTATCAAAATTAGTTTGTTTTCGATTTCTTTGTGGATCTCTGTAATCTGAGGGAAATATGTGTCTCTAAATGGTCATAGGAAGTGCAGCTCAGTTTCTACCTCATTTTGTGGGCAGTGTGCACATAGCATGTCTTCTCTTGAGAGCCTGGTCTGCCTACGGCGGCCTTTCTCAATAGCAAGGCTATGCTCACTGAGTCTGTACATAGTCAAATCTTTCCTTAAGTTTGGGTTAGTCACAGTGGTCAGGTATTCTGCCACTGTGTACTCTCTGTTTAGGGCCAAATAGCATTCTAGTTTGCTCTGTTTTGTTTGTTAATTCTTTCCAATGTGTCAAGTAATTATCTTTTTGATTTCTCATGATTTTTTTGGGTCTAATTGTGTTGTTGTCCTGGGGCTCTGTGGGGTCTGTTTGTGTTTGTGAACAGAGCCCCAGGACCAGCTTGCTTAGGGTACTCTTCTCCAGGTTCATCTCTCTGTAGGTCATGGCTTTGTTATGGAAGGTTTGGGAATCGCTTCCTTTTAGGTGGTTGTAGAATTTAACGGCTCTTTTCTGGATTTTGATAATTAGCAGGTATTGGCCTAATTCTGCTCTGCATGCATTATTTGGTGTTTTACATTGTACACAGAGGATGTTTTTGCAGAATTCAGCATGAAGTCTCAATTTTGTAAATTCTTGGTTGGTGAGCAGACCCCAGACCTCACAACCATATAATAATAATAATAATAATAATAATAATAATAATAATAATATAATAATATGCCATTTAGCAGACGCTTTTATCCAAAGCGACTTACAGTCATTTGTGCATACATTTTTTACATATGGGTGGTCCCGGGGATCGAACCCACTACCCCGGCGTTACAAGCACCATGCTCTACCAATTGAGCTACAGAGGACCATAAAGGGCAATGGGTTCTATAACTGATTCAAGTATTCTTAGCCAGATCCTTAATTGGCATGTCGAATTGTATGTTCCTTTTGATGGCGTAGAAGGCCCTTCTTGCCTTGTCTCTCAGATCGTTCACAGCTTTATGGAAGTTACCTGTAGCGCTGATGTTTAGACCGAGGTACGTATCATTTTTTGTGTACTCTAGGGCAACGGTGTCTAGATGGAATTTGTATTTGTGGTCCTGGCAACTGGACCTTTTTTGGAACACCATTATTTTTGTCTTACTGAGATTTACTTTCAGGGCCCAAGTCTGACCGTATCTGCGCAGAAGATCTAGGTGCTGCTGTAGGCCTTCCTTGGTTGGTGACAGAAGCACCAGATCATCAGCAAGCAGTAGACATTTTACTTCAGATTCTAGTAGGGTGAGGCCGGGTGCTGCAGACTGTTCTAGTGCCCTCGCCAATTCGTTGATATATATGTTGAAGAGGGTGGGGCTCAAGCTGCATCCCTGTCTCACCCTGTCTCACCCTGTCTCTCTCTCTCTCTCTCTCTCACTCTCACTCTCACTCTCACTCTCACTCTTCCCTCTGCTCTGGTGATGTTATAAACAGGGTGACCATTTCACCCCGGTATGTATGTCATCTTCAGTTCTTCAGTCTCCCAAAATGTATATTAGCCCCCTGGAACCCAGGTCAGAGCTCCTTCCCATCTTTCCTCCTCCCCTCTTCCCCTCCTCTCCTTCCCCCTGTTTTTCCATGCATATTTTTGGCAAACCTCTTAGAGATGATTGACGACGGGCCCTATGAAGCCAAGCAGTACAGGGGTAAAGGTTGTGTGCGGCTCAACTTTTTCTGAGAATGTGTCTCTGTCTCTCTCTCTCCTTCCCTCTCTCCCCCCTCTATGTATCTCTGTCTCTCTCTCGCTCTCCCTCTCTCTCTCTCTTTCTCTCCCTTCCTCCACAGAGCCCCCTCCTGCAATCACAGTGGGCGGTAATGTGACAGCGACTCCAGGCTCCAGTGCTGTTCTGACCTGCCATGTGGCCAGTACGGTCCAGTTCAACCTGACCTGGCACAGAGGGGGTGTGGACGCCCGGCTGGACCCCCGCCGGCGCCCCCTGGCCAACCTCTCCCTGGAGATACACTCCGTTGGCACCGACGACGCCGGCTGGTACGAGTGTGTCGCCACCAACGAGGGAGGAGTTTCCACCGAACGCATCTACCTCATCGTGCAAGGTGTGTGTGTGTATTTCTCTGTGTGTGTGTGTGTGTGTGTGTGTGTGTAAGCCTGCAATTTTTTTTTGTTGGTCCGTCTATGTGTGTTTGTGTTTGCATATGTGTACATTTGTTTGTTTGTGTGTGTCACTCCTCGCCACACTGTGTTAGCTGGACTGGAGTATGTCTGGGTGACGTGTTCAGATTTACACTGCTGGGGAATGGGGCTCTTGGCAACACAACCTCGCTGCTCCCAAATACAGACCCCTCCTCGCTCCCAAACACAGACTCCACTCCTAACACAGACCCCACTCCTAAACACAGACCCCTCCTCGCTCCCAAACACAGACCCCACTCCTAACACAGACCCCACTCCTAAACACAGACCCCTCCTCGCTCCCAAACACAGCCTAACACAGACCCCACTCCTAACACAGACCCACTAAACACAGACCCCTCCTATCGCTCCCAAACACAGACCCCACCTCCCAACACAGACCCCCACTCCTAAACACAGACCTCTCCTCCCCTCCCTCGCTCCCAAATACAGACCCCACTCCTAACACAGACACCCACTCCTAAACACAGACCCTCCTCGCTCCTCAAACCCATACCCCCACTCCTAACAACATACCCCTCCTCGTCCTAAACACAGACACCTTCCTCGCCTCCCAAACACAGACCCCACTCCTACCAACACAGACCCCACTCCTAAACACAGACCCCTCCTCGCTATCCCCAACACAGACCCCACTCTCTAAACCCAGACCCCCACTCCTAAACACAGACCCCCTCTCCACCGACCCCTCTCCGCCTCCCAAACCACCGACCCCACTCCTAACACAGACCCCGCTCCTAAACACAGACCCCTCCTCCGCTCCCAAACACCGCCCACCACGTCCTAAACACAGACCCCGCTCCTAAACACAGACCCCTCTCCACAGACCCCTCTCCACTCCCAAACACAGACTCCTCTCCACAGACCCCTCTCCACAGACCCCTCTCCCCTCTCCCAAACACAGACCCCGCTCCAAAACACAGACCCCTCTCCCCTCTCCCAAACACAGACCACTTTCTTTGCTCCCAAACACAGACCGCTCTCTGTCCCCAAACACAGACCCCTCTCCCTGCTCCCAAACACAGACCCCTCTCCCTGCTCCCAAACACAGACCCCGTGAGACAGATAAAAGGAGCTATTAGCAGATGAGCTCAGCCAAAGGCCATCCAGGACAGCGGAGAGCGGAGGAGAGAGGAGAGAAAAAGAAGAGAGAGATCCGAATGAGAAAAGTGAGAGAGAGAGAGACCGAGGAGAAAAAGAGGAGAGAGAGAGCGAGCAGGAAAAGAGAGTCCTGATGAGAGATCGAGAAAACCAAGTAGATCGAGAGACGGAGGGAGAAGAGAAAAGAAGTGAATAGAGAGACCCTACGAGCCAAACAGAGAGAGAGACTTGAAGAGGAAAAGCAGCGACTAGCAACCTCCCGGGCCATGCCACAGCCCAGAAGCGCACAACGACTCCACCACCCTGCAGTAGGCGCAGTTCCTCGACAGAATCGCAGAAAGAAGATTCGTGCGAATCTCCCCACTCCCAGCCCCCGGCCACTGATGCGAGAATCCCCATGAGCAATCGCGCCCATACCTGTCTTGAGTATGATGAGAGTAAAACGAGAGATGCAGACATGAGAAAAAGACGGGAATGCGGAGAGACTGGACAGGATGAGAACAAGAGAGAGACGAGATTGAGGGCGCGCAGAACGACATAGCCATAAAGAGGCCCCTGGATGACGAAGGGTGCACTCACGCCCCACTTCCTACCGCAGAAAATGACGATACGCAGAGGGCCGAGATAAAGAACGCCCCATTATCCCCCTTGAGTTAATCCCCCTACGTCATGAGATACCACCTCTTCCCCCAGAGAAGAATCCGAGATAGAGAGTATGCGCACCCTCCCCCCGAATTACCTTCCCTCCCACCTCACATTCCCTCCCCCCAGGATTAACTTATTTTTAGACCTGATCCTTGTTCCACGGAGGAAAGAGCGTCGCGTAGACGAGAGCACCACTCGAGAAACCCAAACGCACGGACGAGGCGGAGAAAAGACCGCAAGCAGAGAGAACCCCAGAGCTCGAGCCAGAGCACCCCAGCTTTCTTTGCGTTCTAGGAGCCTCTGAATCGCTCGGAGTAAGAGAAAAGAGTAGCAGACCCATCTCCTTTGCTCTTTTTCCCTCCTCCTCGCGGCGTACGAGCGTCCGCTCGACTTCTGAGAATAAGACGTCTAGATCGACCATGCGATGAGTACCCCCTGAGGAGTTATAGAGGAAGTCTCTGATCGAGAGACACAGGGAGAGAGAGTTTATACCGCTTGACGAATTTGCCGTCGATGCCTTTGACTGTGAGAGCGTTAGCGATGGAAGAAGATTGAGTGAGGAGGAGAAAAGAGGAAGAGAGAGGAGGAGAGAGAGAAAAAGAGAGAGAGAGAGAACAGAGAGAGAGGGGAGAAAGATGAGAGAGAGAGAGAGCGAGGAGAAACAGAGAGAGAGATGAGAGAGGAGAGAACAGAGACGCGAGCCCAACAGCCAGCGCCAAGAAGGCACCGCAGCCCCAGCAGAAAAGACGCACGGGGGAGAACGCACGCGATGCCGTTCGAGAACGACCTGTACAGCTACCAGCATTCCGAAGGCACACTTGTAGTGACCCGGCAAGGAGATGATGCCTGCCATTCCGCCCCGGAGCGAGCATGAGAGAACCGAAACAACCTCCGGATACGACAGATGTGGGGGAGAGAGAGTCCGTGATCGACGAGAGAGATTATGAGAAGATTCGGGGAGACGCAGAGATGGCGTTTACTAAGGGCAAGCTTTCTAATGAGTCCTTCTCTCATACTAGAACGCCCTGCGACCGCGAGATCGAGGGCCCAGGAGAGAGTATAAGAAGACCTCCGCAAGCCGATGAGAAGAAGAAAGAGAGCAGCAGGGTGAGGGAGAGAGGAGAAGAAAAGAGACAGATTCAGAGAAAAGAGAGAGAGAGGGAGAGGGGCGGGGACGGACAGCACGAGCGTGAGGGGAGAGGGAGGAGAAGATAGGGAGGGAGGAGGAGAGAGAAACAGAGAGAGAGGGAGGCGAGGAGGAACAGAGAGACAGAGAACAGAGCGAGGGAGGAGAGAGGGAGAGAAAAGAGAGAGAGAGAACAGAGAGAGAGAGGAACAGAGCGAGAGAGAACAGAGAGGAGCGAGAACAGGGGAGAGAGAGAACCAGATGAGAGAACAGAGAGGAGAGAACAGAGAGAGATTGGAGAACAGGAGAGAGATAGAACAGAAGAGAGAGGGAGGAAGAGAGGAAAAGGCAGAGGAGCAGTGAGAAAAGAGAGAGAGGGGGAGAGAGGACAGAGAGAGAGGGGAGGAGAGAGAGGGAGGGGGAGAGGAGGAGAACAGAGAGAGGGAAACAGGAGAGAGGGAGGAGAGAGGGGAGAGAGGGAGAACAGAGAGAGGAGAACGAGACGGAGGAGAGGAACAGAGGAGCGTTGCCAGTCTGAATAAAAGAGACGAGAGACTCGACACAAGAGTCACCTAGCAAGTAATCGAGATCAATCTACCCGAGGCCAGTGCGGACGTAACAGAGTGACTATAAGAGGAGAACATAGGAGGGAGAAGAGAAAAGAGAGAGAGAGAGAACCAGAGAGAGAGAGAGAGAAACAGAGAGCAGAGCGAGAGCGAGAGAGAACTCGTGAGCGAGAGAGAGAACAGAGCAGGAGAGGGAGAGAACAGAGTGAGCGGAGAGAGGATAAGCGTTCGAGGAGCGCACAGAGAGAGAGAGACCAGAGAGAGAGGCGAGAGGAAACAGAGAGGGGAGAGGAGAGAGACTAGAGAAAAGAGAGAGAGACTAGGAGAGAGATGAGAAGAGAGCGAGAACAGATCTCGCTTTCCCCCGAGAAAAGAGAAAGGGAGAGAACAGAGAGAGAAACAGATAGAGAGGAGACCAGAGCGCGATGAGAGAGAGAGAGCGCAGCGAGAGATAGAGAGACAGAGAGAGAAGAGAGAGAGGAACAGAGAGAGAGAACAGAGTGAGAGAGGAGAACAGGAGAGAGAGAGAAACAGAGAGGAGAGAGAACAGAGAGAGAGAGAAACCAGGAGAGAGGGAGGAGGAGAGAGAAACAGAGGAGAGACAGAGAGAGAGAGGGTAGGAGAGAGAGAACAGAGAGAGAGAATAGAGAGAGAGAACAGAGAGAGAGGGAGAGAGAGAACAGAGAGAGAGAACAGAGAGAGAGGAGGAGGTGAGAGTGGACCAGAGAGAGAACAGAGAGAGAAGAGGAGCAACAGAGAGAGAGAAACATAGAGAGGAGAACAGAGAGGAGAGAGAGAGAGAACAGAGAGAGGCGAAACACAAGAGCGAGAGGAGAAGAGAGAGAGAACAGAGCGAAAATAGCGAGAGAGAGAGAAAAAAGAGCGAGGTGACAAAGAGAGATAGAGAGAAGTAACGAGAAGGAGAGGGAAGGGAGAGAACAGAGAGGGGAGAGAGAAAGAGAAGAGAAAAGAGAGAGAGAGAGTTGAGATTGACGTGGATAGAGAGAGAGGAGAGAGGAGGAGAAAAGAGAGAAAGAGAAAGGGTTAGAGAACAGCGGAGGAGAGGCGAGAGCGAGAGCGCCCAGAGAGAGACGGCGAGAGGAGGGAGAGCGCAGAGAAGAGGAGAGCGCAGAGAGAGAGAGAGAGGGCAGAGAACAGAGAGAGAGGGCAGAGAACAGAGAGAGAGGGCAGAGAATAGAGAAAACAGAGAGAGAGGGAGGAGAGAGAGAGGGAGGAGAGGGAGAGAGGGAGAGGGAGAGGGAGAGGGAGAGAGGGAGAGGGAACAGAGAGCGAGAGGGCAGAGAACAGAGAGACAGGGAGGAGAGAGAGAGAAGTGTGACATGGAGGAGGGGGTGTAGTCACTGAAGACTTCATGTAAAGCTATTGATGATCAACATTATCTTGGAAGATAATTTCACTCTCATTAGTCAGTCTCATTACGTTTAATCAACACACATTTTCACT